GAGGGCACTTTCAGCAGAGCCTCTCGAAATACTCAGCTTCTTTTCCTCTCGATAATACCTCTGCAAACAAGCCACACCAGAGCAAGAGTATCTCATATCATCAGGGTTAAAAGTAAGGGTATCCCATATCATGCTTTTTCCCTATCTTTTCCTTTAGCCTTGTTCTTACCTGCAAGATAAGGAGAAAGAAAGCAATCAGTCAGCATTTGGAATCAAGCTTCCAGTCAGGAACTGACTGCCTGAAACCCCTTGCCTGATTATTTACCTGGCATTGCTCTCGAGTACTCATCTTTAACATCTTATGCTTCCAGAGAAGATACCACATCTGCTGAGGAACAGATAAGGCAAGTGAGAAGGATATAAGGTAGCATGTGCAGACAAGCGTAACAGTACACGTACCGATACATCCACTACTTTGTTAACAGCAAAAGTATCCCATATCATTAAGGTTGAACGTACTCTAGATTTGATGAACTTGTTTTGACCCTAAAATTCTTGAGTCGGCCTTATACTCTGGAGGAAACCAGAAAACCCTCAAGCCCAGTTTAAGAATAAGCATGTGGAAAGTTACTTCTTCAAAAGAAAAATTATCTCATATCATCTCTTCTCCATTTGCTTCTCCTTATCCTTGTTTCTGTTTACGACACAAGGAGAAGGAGAACAATCAACCGGAAGCCAAAGTCGAACCTCCGATCCAGATTGCTTGCTTGGAAGTCTGATTGCTTACCTTGTCTGTTACCTCCTTAGGCAAATCTCCTAGCTCGGCGACTTGGGTGACTCCTACTATAGGGTTTGTATCGCACTTGACCAAGCTCGAAACTACAAGTAAACTTCAAGTGAAATTGATACATTACCTTGTGCAATTTCATCGGTTAAAGATACCAACCCTGGATAGAGGAAAAGTACTTCCAGAGAAGATGCCACATCTACATATGAGACAAATAAGACAAGTGAAAATGATACCACACTTCGGTACTTAGAAGTTTCGTGATTACTCAATGGCTTGGATCTTGCAAGTCCCCAACCGAGGAGCTTCCCTCACTCGGGAACTTAGGGGAGCACTGTTTGTACCATACTTGACCAATCTCGAAACTACTGCGCACCGATCAATGTTATAACGTCAAGGACTCAGAAGAGTTTCCCTTCAACCAGGAGGCCAATCACAGTGCGACACGTGTCAACATATGGTACGGTACCAATGGTACAAATTTTTTAGCATAACTTTGGTATGGTACGGTGGTATGGTAATTTGGCAAAAAATTCCACCCCTATATATCGCAGTAAGGTTAGCATGGTTTCATGCTACGCATGTTGGATACGTGATGGATATACAAGTGTTTGTTTGTTGAACAAGTTCACTAAAAACTGACCGTCCAAGAAGTTTCAACGCATCAAACATTACAAGGTTTCTGGCTGTAGTATGTAAATAGTTCTTAGTCCTAAGGCATCATAGGTATCTTATAGTTATAGATAACTTTGATTTCACCTCAAAGCCCTCAATGAGACCGCAAAGCCAATAGTGTGATATTCGGGTTCACATGTATAAGTATCAAGGTACATGAATGTGCAATAAGGAATCTATCACATTTTGGTATAATTATTCAATAGAAGGATATATCCCTCTAAGCCATTTGAAGATCTATCTCGGAAATCTCTGGCCAAAGTAACTGTTGATCAAGCTATGTTTGTAACAACTGCTTCAACATGAGATGTATCATGATGATCATAGATAATTGTATGTGATTTGACATAATTCCATAGTACAAATCATGATTGGGATATGGATGATAGAAGAATCGAATTGCATTGTAACTACTATCAAGGTACGAAAGAGTATCATAATTAGTTCACGTATACTTGTACTTGTCCATGTAGTCATGATATGCTGGTAGGTGTCACTCATGGGTTATGGAATTAGGTTAATTCATTAATTAATTTCACTGCCGGCTTTTGTTACTAAGAGGTCACACACATATGATAAGTTCTAGTAACGTTATATGGATAATGATTAGATATAATTAATTTTTAATAATACTGAATTAATTATTTGGACCCTTTGGACATGTTTTAATTAAATAGGCATTGACTTTATGTAATTAAAAGGGATTCAAGTCACAAACCCAAAGTGGGTAAGTGATTGAGCTAAGCGCATGGAACAAAGCCCATGCTGCCTAACCTTAGGAAGGTGTAGCAATGAGTCTATAAATACTCCTTGTGTTTCTCTCATAAAGATAATGCAAAAGTTGTTTAGTTTTGTCCCTAAAAAAAAGAGAAAAACCCAAGCCAAAACACCTTAGTGCCATCCTTTCTATATTGATCAAAGTGAGAGATATTCCTAGCACATTTAAATCAATCACTCTATCATTTGTTACTAGATTTATCAGTGTGGATGCTCTTAGAGGCTCAACACTTGGGGAGTTTCATGTGATCAACCATGAAGATGAAGATTGCAAGCAAAGATGATCCAATCATGGGGCATGCACATAACTAGAGATTTAAGTAAGTTAATATTTACGACTTCTTACTTTGTTGCTGTAGCGATTACAACCAACCATTTGGATTGTCACATCCCGACCTGGGCTCCACCACATCCCGGGCTCAACTCCGCTGTAGCACGATATTAGGCCCCGTCCACACCCTTACGGTTTTGTTTCTGGGAACTCAAGCGAGCAGAACTTCCCAGTGGGTCACCTATCTTAGGAATGCTCTGGCCCCTTTCTTGCTTAACTTCGGAGTTCCTACGTAACCCGAAGCCAGTGAGCTCCCAAAAGGCCTCGTGCTAGGTAGAGATGAGAATATACATATAAGGCTTACATGATCCACTCCCCTAGACGATGTGGGATGTTACATGGATAATGTATTGTATGTTATTTGTTATTATCCGTTGCATATTTAATTATTCAAATTAAATTAATCTTAATAATATGACCGGAAACCCAACATGTTGTTAGCATGATTTATGTCTACAGACTTGATGACTTCTAAATCTTGAACTCAATTGAGTTCCTTGGCCTTCTCTTTTACAAGTAATTCAAATTAATGTTTCCTGTGTATTGATTCATAACTAGATATATCAATGTCAACTTGATAGTCGCCTTGAATGCATTAACCTCTTCATAGTCGGACAATGATCTAAAAGTTGGCCGCCTAGGTGCTAAACAGCTGACCACCGCTACAATTAATCCGTACACCTTTAAAAAAAAAAAAAAAAGGCACACCTAGACAGGCTTGGTGGTTTTGTGACTTCTTTTATTTTTTTTTCTACAAAATAACTTAGGGTCGTGACTCTCTCTCCGTCTCAATAGAAAATAGATGACTTCCATTTTACATTTTATTTTTTCAATAAATTGTAAGAGACTTTTGTTGGATACTTTGGATACTTGGATAAACATTCATTATGTTTCAATAAATTGGAGCACTTTATAATTTATATATTATTCTATTTTGCAATTTATGTTTCTCAATACAATTGTTGTATTTTTTTAAGTACAAACAAACACTTATTAATTTATATGTTGTATAATAAATTTAATTTAATAAATAACCGTTTAGGACCTTGCTTAAGCTCTCACCTAGTCCTCAAGCTCTAGATCCCTACCCTCTATCTAACTAACACAATTTTTAGAACAATGAGCATACTCAAGATGCCATGCGGGGGTTGAACTGTTTGCAATAATTGAGAAAGACAGAGTAAGCGGTTTGCATGGTGCGAGGAAAATAAAGGGCATATGTATGAAAAAGTACCATGATACATAGAGAGCGATTTTTTAGTGTCCCGGAAAACTAACACCACATGTTTTTATATAATTAGAAGGAAGTGTCCTTCAATATGTAAAATGATATATGATATTACATTCTATTTTTTGGGCACACTGAAAAATCTCTCATACATAGGATTAGTGCTCACTCACATCCAAAATGGTAATTTTTATTAATTTAGGGTTTGGCACACCTTTTCCTGCAACCACTTGTTGGGGTTAAACTATAGTTACATCTAATTAGGGTTTCTTGTGCGTGGGACTTTTGAAAAACGTGATAACATATAAAAATCCCAAGTGGAGTATATATGAAAATCCCAAGTGCAAATGCATGAAATGTAATGCATGTGATCATACCTTGAATTTGTACCAAGCTACTTCATTTCTCTTATGAAATCGACCTTGAATTGCCGATTGCCGCTACTATATTTCTAAGTCTATCCTATTAGGTAATTGAGTGATAATAGCAATTACAAGTAATATGTGTGTAGTTTTATAGTCAAGTAAGCCTATTGACAAAAGTCCTAACTTAGGACATAAGTTCTAGACTAACATGAGCCCTTGCTCAATCGAGGACCCTAGGCGGCCATCTCACCAGGCTCCTATTAGGACCGGCCGGCCTAAGGCAAAATGGTGATTAATGTAGACGAAATGTATAAGACATGTATAAAAAATGAAAACTAAAACTATTTCAAGTTGTTATGTCTTCATTCATTCTTCTTTATTTCTTTCTTTCCCTCTTACCACTCTTCTTGTATCCATCGTTCCTTCAAATACTTTCCTCATATCTCAATTAAAGAGATGAAGTAATGTCAATTATTATATATAGCGGACTGGAAAACGTTCTTAATTAATTGATACTAAAACAGATGAAGTAAATTGGAATCACTTATATGATTGATACAATCAAAGTTCTAAAAGACGCTAAACACTAGCTAGGTGGTGGGTTGGGCAGATTGGGTGGACTATGCGGATTTTTAATTTTTATATAACATATAAAAATAAATGTCTACCTATACATTAAGAATACATATGATTGTATTAGGGACACATAAATTGCAAAATAAAATGACATGTAGATTATAAAGTATTAGAACATATCGAAAACCTAAGGAACAAGCATATTGAGTGTTCATCCAAGTATTTAACAAGTCTCTTACAATTTATTAAAAAATTAAATGAAAAATGAAAGTTATCTAACTTTTGTCTAAGTGAGAGTCGCAACCTAGACGGGACGGTCGCCTTGCATCTAGGTGCCCTTTCTTAATTTTCAAACGCATGAGAATTAATTGAGATGCTAGCTAGCCGTCTAGTGCCTATGCGAGGATTTTTAGAATAGTGGATACAATATTAGTGTAAAGAGTCAATCTGATATATATGATAATCAGCAAACAATAATTGCTTAAATTCAAAGTTATTGTATCTGAAGAAGAAGAGATTCCAAAAATAATGAATGTGTTAGAAGATAAATATATACATATTTATGATACAGTGCAGTGCCATGCAGAAACTGTAAGCAGATACCTGTCTTGCCACCCAAGAGATATTGTCCTTCCATCGTCTCTTTCGAAAACCTTGAACCCAGCTGCAGCTCCACTACTCTCTCCATCAAACTCAAGTGGAGAATAGTGAGTCCTAATTTTCAAAAGAAGTCTTGCTTGTATCTTGGACTTAGAGCTTAGATTTATTCCTTCAAAACCCTGACTCTCCATCATCGTCTTCCATGTTTCCATCTTTTCAGTTTTCGGACAATTCTCATCGTTGTTATTGTCGTAATTGAGCATGCTTTTGATCTCTTTTCCAAGGTGGTTCTTCTCAATGCTCAACCTTTCAGCACTCTCTAATGGCAGACAATCATCTAAAGAATCAAACATGGCTGCAAAATAATGCAAAGACTCCATGAATCTCGATAAGAAACTTCGAGGACTTTTGCTCCCTTCTTGTTCAACCAAGATTACAATGGAAGGGTTGAGTAAATGTACAGATTTTAACAAGTCAGATATCTTCAAATTATTGCTCAATGTATTCAACTGAAAAACCAAATTCACAGCAATTGTTTCGTTTCTCTTTTTTCTCAAGTTTATGAGCTTTGAGCCTCTCAACAACCCTTGAAATTCAAAAACAAGATTCCGAAACCCCTTTGAGAAGCTTGTCAGTCTGTTCTCCGTTTCACGTAGCTCATCCACGCTTCTTCCGAACCCCGTTATTCTGAGCGATATACGATTGCTACTGCTTGCGTTCTCGGACAGAGACTGTATAAGAGAAGGCCACTGAAATCCATAGGAGACATCAAAATCAATAACATGTAATGCACGATTGTTCTTCTCTTGTTCCTTCTCAAATGCCTCAATGATTGCTTGGTTTGCCGTGAAATGAGCAAACTGGTAGTACGGAGAGACCCGGTAGAGAGCGGTGAACGCTACAAACTCTTCTTCACTCGTCGGTTCCTTCATGATCATGTCATAAAAGGGCGATTTTCGAGTGAGAAGCCTTGCAGCTAAGCCGTCGGCAAAATAAGCCACTACTCGTTGGACAGAGTCACCGCATAAGGAAACAATCTTGTATAACTCAGTGAGATGCTCCAAGGCTGAGCCGACATTGTTTTCGTTAACTGCGGTGGCTGTTATGAGCAACATGTGGATCAGGTGGAGGCCCCTTCCATCTTCACCATCAAGAGCAACACCTTTCTTCTTGTGAAGGTCTAGTTTTTTTAGCATTTGTTCCCTCATTTGAAGAAGCCTAAATATCTTCCCTTCACAACCTTCATACGAGTTTAGAGGGCTCACCAAAATACTATTAGCAATACCATCGTCTCTTGATCTCTTTCTCTTCTTAAATCTCTCCTTCCCTGAACTTGTAACAATTGCAAGGCTAAGATTCAGAAACTCCTCCTCCTCATCTATGTCTTCCATGGATTTAGAGAGAGAAAAAAAACAGTCGAGAGAGAGAGAGAGAGTGTGTGTGTAGTACTGATTGATGAAAGAGATCATGAATGAGCATTTAAGGAAGTGGGGAGGGATGGAATATCTCATTACGAAAATTCCGTTCTGTCATTACATGGGAATGGATCAAAAGACATGAGCGATATTGAAGAATAGTTTATATAAAACATTTTTGTATATTTGTTCGGTGTGTCTTGGGCCAAGAAAACGTATTGATGATTTTTTATTTGTCTATTAAAATATGAAGGCAGTTTTGGCAATTTATGAAAAGTGTTTGATTAGTAGTTCGGATGGGTAAGAAGATGCCGTATGCATTCTGACAAAAAAACCAGCGGGCAAAAATTAGGGTATCAAACCTACCGTCCTTGAAAAATCGTCGTTATTTGCCATGTGCTTCTAGAAAGTATATTATATATATGTCCTAACAAATACTATTTTCTAGTTTTTCCCCCACTAAATCAAAGCCATATTCCTCTTTACTTCCTTTTCTTTAACTTTTGTTTTTCCTGAAAATGACTGCCATTTTGATGCTACAAAGAAGAAGGGCATTTGATTCCATTTTGTCAAATGGTTTGGGAAATTGGCGATGATTACTCATCAAATGGTTATTTTTTTTGGTATATGTCGTCAGTATTTGATTGATATGTCGTCAATTTTTAATTGTTATGTCATCAATATTTGATTGATATGTTGTTGATTTTGATTAGTTCAACAACTTTTCAAGATTTAATTTCTATTTATTTAATTTTTGATATATAAAAGAGTAATATTTGATCCTATCGTTGTTAATGTCCTTGTCCATCGTTGTAGGATGTAGTGTAAATTATATCATTTTTTTGTCAAATAATAGATTTTGTTAGATTATATGTTAGATTAATCACCGACGGGGTTTGAACTCACGCCGTCATGCAATGGCTCAACTCTTTTCCACCATTGTTATTTACTCTATCTTTTATAGGAATAGGAGATGTTCCTATTGCATTTTTAATTATTAGTAAAGTGATCAAGTAGAATTATGGTCTTTATAGTATATTTTGCTTCCAAATTAGAATACCTGTTTATTGGTTCCATTGTGTCAAATTCTCTTTTACTTGAACAGACCGCTATTTGTATTTGATTTGTTTTCGTTCACTATTAACAACTAATGATTCTGAAATATGGAAATCATCCAGTAGTTTGGTGTAAATTACAAGAAAGTTCAAACTTTGGTCCTAATAATTTATATTCTCTTAAGAACTTTTGAAATTATATTCTTGACCACCTAATTGACTGTTTCAATGGGTCGTTGCATGTTTCAAACCTTGTATTCATATTCCTCATTTGTTTATATTTATAATTAAGAAAAACGATGCCAAATATTATTTTTTTTCTGAGGAGAACAGAAAATATATAGCTAGCAGCATGCGTTAAACCAAAGAAAAAAGGAATCGGCTTCTTAATTATATTTTCTTTGAAATAGCCGTTTGAACGAGTCCAAAAGAGGACATTGAATCCTCAAAAGTCACATAAAACATGGAAGCATCAAAGCTCTCTCTCTCTCTTGGTGGTTGTCTTGGTTATGGAGGACATAGTTTAATAAAATGGAACTTTATATTTGGCTTATAGGACAATTCCAAAATTAATATTGCATTATTTACAAGTAAGCTGATTCTGTCGCATAGAGTGTGAGTTCGACATATGGCAGATTCCCAGATGCTCTTTCAAATACAGTATGCTCTATCGAATATTATCGTTAATTTATTTGTTTGTTTCACAAGACATAATTTTAAATCGACATGATCCGTTAAAGGAGGTTTTGCAGTCTCATGAAAATCTGCAACTTTTTTAGGAAGCCTGCATGCATGATCATCACATAGCAGCAGCCTCACCATTTTAAACAAGATATGCATACCAGTTTAGCTCATCATGAACTGTAAACATCTTATATAACTAACGACATCTATTTGTCCTCTTTTTACAGTGGCGAAGCCAGACATTTTACTAGGAGAAGTCAATCTTAAATATCTATAAGCTTGGAATGAAAAAGAAAAAAAATTACGAAACTTATATTGTAGCACAAAATCATAGTTTGAAGACGATTTTTTTGTTTTTTTTGTTTTTGAAAGAAAGTTTGAAGATGATTTTAGATGTATTATGTATATTAATGTTTGGACCCAAAATAATGTTTTGGGCCGAGCCCATGATTGTTCTCGGTCCAATATGAGGTACCAGGAATATTTCCATCATGGGTCTGGCCCAGTGGATTTCGGCTGAGTCCTATTAGAAGAAGGTTCCATCCAAATAAAGGTGAAGTGGTCGAGTCCTAGTACAACAAGCAATCATCAGAAGCTAGGAATGCTTCGAATAAGAAAGGATGCCGAGAATCAAGGGTGATATGAGTGATTAAAGAACTTGGTTCAAAGTCCTACAAGAGTCAGGATTGGTCAAGATCTATTCGGATTGGGTTAAGGAATTCTAGTCCGAGTAAAACTCTACCATGACCACTGAGGAAATTGCTACTATAAATTGAAAGGGGAGTGCATCATTCAAAACCCCTCCAAATCAACACACAAAATTGCTCTGCGCAAACTCTCGCTCTACGCGAAACCACCTTGAGATTTTTATTTTCCTTTTTCCTGCCAACACACCTTCAGTTTGGATAAACATCATTGTGGTGGCAATCGGCAACATCTTCAGTTTGGATAAACAACACTGGAGTTGTAGAATCAGTCGACCGAGGAGTACCTTCAGTTTGGATAAACAACACTGCTTCAAGACCGACTGATTATCTATCTAAGTCTCGGTTAACAAGGATTTTTGAGTCTTTGTTGGAAGAGGTCATCTCATTAGCCTTCTCGGCGAAGTGAAGTTTTACTAGGTTACTTAATATTAGGCACACTCAAAGCTGAATTTGATATTGAACTTCACAGAACTAGCAGCATTGTCTTCAGACTCTAGAACCTGAAGGCCGAGATGTGTTCCTTCCTTGGCCCCAGTCACAAGATCAAAAGTCAGCAATGTGCCTAGCACCACATCAATATTCATTGTACTCCTCAGCCGACAAGTTGGCATGCCCTGCATTCAACCAAAGGACGTAGTTAGCTTATTAGCTATTCGGCTTGCGCGCCACGTAGGCTAAGTAGATTTTAGGGTCAACAATTAACTTCTACATTTCTAATATGACATGATTAGACATAAATTGTAGTATTAGGATTAGTTGATTAGTTAATTATTGATTGTGGAGCCAAAAATATTCACAGGGCGACACGTGGATTTTTGGACAAAAATGACAAAAATACCCTTGCAGTACAACGAGGTTCCTACGCGCAAGCAGCGGGCAACCCTCTTTCAACCAAGATAGAAGTGCCCAAAATAGGTAACAATTCAAAGTCCATCTCATCAAATCCTTTCTACAAGGTAATTCCCAAACACATTCCTTTTTAATTATGTTAATTGGCTAATTAATGGGTTTATTGCCTAATTAACCCATTAATTGTCAATTAAACCATCCATTATATCCAAATAACTACAAAATACATCCAATTCAACCCTAAAACACCACATGGCCGGCTATCCCCATTTCAAAACCTAATCCATCACTTTTTTCTACCTTTTTCACCATTTCTTCCTTTTTATTACCCAATAAATTCAAAAACCACCAAAACATTCATCTTATGTTTAATAGCCAAATAAATTGGCTAATTAAACCTAAATTAAACCTAAAAACCCTAGCCACCTCCTATCCCTATAAATATACTCCCATTCTCACCAAAAAGCTAATTCCAACACTTTGGCAAAAATCCCAAAATTCTCTAAACACTTTTTCTCTCTAAATTCTAACTTTGGCATCGGAGGTTCTTCGGCCAAAGCCCCCCCCATTCATCGTGGGCGCGTGAGGCTCTTGGCCTTAACCTAAGGTGTTAATTGTTTTGTAGGTGCAAAATTGTCCAAGATCAAGGAGGAAGAAATTTGCATCCACAAATTGGTGCTTTCATTGAGAGTTGAAATCCATACTCGTAGAAGACTCTCGCACAAAAAAGGTTTTTTCTTTATTTTCTAGTCCATTTGAATATTTTTCATACGTTCTTATTATTAGAATTTTTTACTTGCAAAGGTTCTTTGATAAAACGTATAAGCAAAATATAATGGCTAGAAATTTAGAAAATTCCACAAGTGAAAATTCTAATGTTCAAGAAATGGGATTGCGGAGATACGTGAGGCTAATGCGACAATAAGGGGAGCGGCATCATCATCACAAGCTTCCACCATGGGAACCACCGTGGTGGCTACCTCGGTAGCCACTCGCGGCGAGGTCCATGGTGCCTTCACCACGACCACCATGGGAACCACCGCGGTGGCTACTTCGGTAGCTACTCGTGGCGAGGTCCATGGAGCCTTCACCACGGCCCGGAGATCCGTGAGGCAAAATGCGACAATAAGGGGAGCGGCATCATCACCACAAGCTTCTACCATGGGAACCACCGTGGTGGCTACCTCGGTAGCTACCCGCGGCGAGGTCCATGGTGCCTTCACCACGGCCACCATGGGAACCACCGCGGTGGCTACTTCGGTAGCCACTCGTGGCGAGGTCCATGGAGCCTTCACCACGGCCCGAGCCGTGCCATCCAAGGCTCACGGTACCAAGACCACGATCCAAGCCGTGCCATCTAAGTTTACGTGGACCCAAACCCAAGCATCGCATTCACATGCACCGCGCATTGAGCAGCCTGCTCCCGTGATCCAGCCTGCTCTCGTCAAGCAACCCACTCTCACGGCCCAACCTGCTCCTGCCGAGCAGCCTGCTCTCGTGACCCAGCCTGCTCCCGACGAGCAGCCCACTCCCCTGGCCCAGCCTGCTTTCGTCGAGCAGCCCATTCCGGTGGCCCAGCCTGCTCCTGCCAAGCAGCCCACTCCCGTGGCCCAGCCTGCTCCTGCCAAGCAGCCTGCTCTCGTGACCCAGCCTGCTCCCGACGAGCAACCCACTCCCGTGGTCCAGCCTGCTTCTGTCGAGCAGCCCACTCCTGTGACCCAGCCTGCTCTTGCCAAGCAGCCTGCTCTCGTGACCCAGCCTGCTCCCGACAAGCAGCTCACTCCCGTGGTTCATCCTGCTTCCGTCGAGCAGCCCACTCTCACGGCCCAACTTGCTCCTGCCGAGCAGCCTGCTCTCGTGACC